GAGGCAGAGGCACCAAGCTCTCGAGATGCACCACCACGCTCGAGAGGAGACCGAGGAAACCAGGCGGCTCTGAGAGCACAGCGCCTTTCCTCCATAGCCGTGCAGCACCGTCCCGGTGGAAAACGGGGAGTGAGGGAAACACTGACTTATGGAACACTGAGAGTAGTCGATGCACCTCAGCTCCGGCAGTGTGTGAGAAAGAACTCTGTGCTGCTCAATGAGTAAGCACCTGTGGCTCTGAGGCAGGGCCCCTCCCGGTCCCCCACTTCCTATGCCTAGGTGTCCCGGGGGCCTGGCAGGACCGCAGCGCAAGTTCATCCTGGACCTGGATTTGCCAGTCAAATCCCTGCCCAGGACTGCAGTGAGGGCGAGAGACGTCCTTCCACCACACCTGGTTCTCACAGCAGGGTACTGTGGAGACCCTGTGACCGTCTCCCCTGACAGTGTCCATAGCCGTCCTTCGGGTACCCGAGGAGCCCTGTCAGGGTGGCAGAAGCAACCCAGGGATGGGAGTCCCTCTCGTCCCCACACAGCCACATTCCAGAATGATCTCCCCACTTGCTAGTCAAGCTAGGATCGGGCCAAAGGCCACACACAAGTCTCAGTGTCCAGAGAGAGAGATGGAGTGGTTTCATTATCACCAAGCAGAGGGAGAAGAATGTTCCGGACTCACACAGCCAACAGAAGTTCAGAACACACAGGAAGGGATGGAAGGGGAGGCCATTGCCCCACACAAGCCCAACCCCAGGGCTGCCATACTGGAAGAGGTGGCGCCCTCCTGGGCCGGTGACAGAGGCTCGGGAAAGCAGGTGACACGACAACCACAGGCAGGAGATCAAAAGCTTACATCACAACACTTCCAAAACATTTTACAAATTCCCTTTTCCAGAAAGGCAGACAAAGAAGCTCCTTTGCAGGGCCAGCTCTGTATGCTCTCAAACTAAACTATGTCCAGCAGCCAAGGCTGAGAGCCGCCTGAGCCACCTGTCCCAGAGCCTGGACGAAAGCCGTGTGTGCTTCTCTCAAGCCTCTGGCCAGAAGACCTTGCTGGTCTCCATTTCACCTTTATTTTGCTCTCTCCCTCTCCCCCCATTTTCTTTCAGGAAAAGGGCTGAGGAGAAGGGGAACTGGGCAGAACCTTTATGTGTCCCCCACACCCATGTGCAGGAGCCACTGAGCAAGAGAAGCACGGCTGGCCCGTCAACCTCCTCACTCACGACTGATATGCAGCCGCCCCCCAAGGCTTGGGCTGTCGGTGGCTTTGGAGGAGGACAAAGCAGGAACCCACAGAGGCCTCGGCGGGGCTGAGAGGTCCGGTGCGGAAGCCAACAGGAAGCCTCCCCAAGCCTATGTGGGACACCACAGGTCACCCAGAGATAACAGGGTGGAAGCCATAGATTATCAGGTAGGGACAAGAAGCAACGGCATTTGGACGGTTGGGGCTAATGCAGCCCCCTCTGTACCCAGGGAGGTGAGGCCTGGGGAAAGCAGCTGCAGCGTCACTGAAGTCACTGTTTGATAAGACGAACAAAGGCAAAATAACACTTACTGAGAGCAGCTACGCCTCTACATGTATTCTAGCATTTAATTCTTACAAAATTCCTGGGAGGCTCCTAGTGTCCTCCTCATTCTACAGAGCAAGGGAGGCTCAGGGGTTGAAGAAGTCACTCAGGCTCACGTGGCTGTTCCACGGTGGAAACAGAACAGAGTCCAAGCTCAGGTGACCCCAAGGCTGGGGCCTGATTCATCCCTCTCACTGCCCAACCCCACGAGGACAGGCAGGGAAGGCGTCCCACGCAGAGTGCCACACAACTCCACAAAACACACCTCGCTCTCTTGTAGCTTCGGAACAGTGAGGTTCAGAGGACGCCAAGGCAGAACAGAAAGCTAGGAGGTAAAGCCAGGCTCAGAGGAACCTGATGTGTGATAAAGGTTGTGCTTCCTCTCCGTGGGGAAAGGGAAGGCTCCAGAAGGGTGTCCAGGAACCCGGCTCCCACGTGAGTATGGAGCCTCCCACACACGCCATGGAAAGGGAAACGAAGCGCATGGAAAGCCAGAGAATGCTGCAGGCCACAGAGGACAGTCTGAGAGGACATCTTCGCCCTTAGGGTAAAAGAGGCTCTCCAGTTAGCTTTCCACAACACGAGCCAAGAAAACGTGTTGATAAATTTGACTATATCAAAGCTAAAGGCTTCTGTTTGACGCAAGATGTAATGGACAAGTTAACAGAGAAGCGCGACAGAACAGAAAAAGAGTTCTGCAGTTCTGGACCCAACAAAGGATCACTGCCCTCGCTACATAAGCAACTCCAACAAACCACCAGGAAAAGTCAGGAAATGCAGTAGGAAAACATACATGGGCCCGTCCCAGAGGTCCTAGAATGGTCACCATGTGGCTGGAAAGAGGCTCAAATTTACAGGGAGTAAAAGAAATGAAAGTGAAACCAGCAATGAGATTCCATGCTGTCCTCACATACTGGCAAAATCAGAATGTTGAGTAACAATAGATGTTGGAGTTGTTCCTGCAGCACAGCTCTGTCAGCCTGGAGGGTTCAGGTGCACAGCTGTCAGGGGCTGAAGCAGATGTGCAGCTGATGGCACCTAGCCGCAGGCAGCACACAGAGAGAAGGTGGGACCAGGACAACTCCTTGAAACAAACTTCCTACAGACAGACATACACAGAGTGATGCTGACACAGCCAGCTCAGGACAACCGTCACACATCTCGGTGAGCGCCAGCAGAGCAGGGGTCACAGACAGGGGGAAGAGATGGAGAGCCACACCCAGGGCAGCCGCTAGATGACTGCGGTCCTCCCAGAGCTAGCGGATGTGAATCATTTATGCTAACACAGCTACGGCGGCTAAGACCCGCTCGGAAGTGACAGAGGCAGCGTGGGTGACCTTTCTCCGCTGGTTTCCATCTCAGACCCCTCCCAAGTGTAACTGTCCTGACAGGTGTCCCCTGGGGACCCCCACACCCAGGCTATGAGGGGACACTTGCACCCAGCAGCACTGTCCCCACTGTGCAGAGCCCCTAGTGAAGAGTGGTCTGCAGGCGGCCTGAGGGCGGGGACCCGCAGCACCTGGGGCAAGCCGCTGGTCTGGGTCCCCGTGGGCGGAGCCGCAGGGGAGGCTCCTGAGCTTCCGAGACCTCGTCAGAGCAAACACCACAGGCTCCTCCAGGGGAGCCTGCACCTGCACTGTCTTCCTGGAGGACTCAGTTCATTTGGGGGAGCCCTGGGCTTGGAAATCAGTACCTCACCAGGCTTCGGTGACGATGTGCAGAGCCGGACACGTAGATGACAAGGGCCGCCCAGCAGACAGCTCCTCACCAGCACCGTCGTTCCGCGGTGTGGGGAGTGAAGGGCTTGGAGTGGTGCAGACTCGGGGTGTGCTCGGGGTCCCCAAGGTCCAGCTCAGGGCTGCCTGTCAGACTGTCCCCTCCTTGAGGCAGGAGCCAGGATTATCTGACTTGGCGTCTCTAGCACCTCAGCACATGCTTACCGAGTGAGGAAAACAATAAAAGAGAGAATTAGTCCAATTAATTTTGTTGTCCTGGTCTCTGTTCCGTCCCCTAAGCACTGAATGAATCTGAGACGCTCGGGTAGGCATCTGCACTGGCACTGGCTTCAGTTTAGGAACATCTGCTAAACCAAACTGCTCATGTGCTTTTCCTTCTGAATGTTTGTGTGTGTCTCGGCTGGAAACAACCAATTCATATCAATACATCTGTCTCCCGTAGGCCAGCCCACTCAGATGCAAATAGCAGGAGTTTCAGTGATCGAACTGTGAGAGTTTACACACACTCTGCCATATTCATTACCAAGATCAACCCTCCATCAACCCCTTCGAATGCTCTTCACCTAGACAAGACAGAGCTTTAGAAGGGTAAGAATCACCCCTTGGATTCTAAGATTCGGGCCACTGTCTGTGACCCGCAGGGCCCAGCCCGCCCGGCGAGGTGAGGAGCATCGGGACACTGAAGGCTGTCGGGGGGCAGGATGTGTGCGTGACTCCCAGTGCCACCCACGGGGTGCTTCACAGTGGTGAAGAGGCTGTGGAGAGAGTTGCCCACGGATATAATGTACTGGCTGGCCCCCAGGTTTTCCAAAAAGCGATAGTAGTCATTGTCAGGACATCTGATGAAAAACTAAATCAGTACTCAATAGCAGAAGGTATTACTGAACCGATACCACTATCTGCAGCAGGGTGCGGCACTGCCCTTAAACCTCCTGGCTATGATAAGGGTCTTGCAATTTGGTGGGAGAACGTCCGAGTTCTCAGGAAATGCATCCGGGGTACCTGGGGAAGATGTCACGTGTCTGAAACTTACTTCTAGGCAGAGAATCACAGAGGAGGTGTGCGGGGGTGAAGAGAAGACAGAGGAGGGATGTGCAGAACGCTAACAGCCGGTCAAGGCCAAGGAGACAGATTCTCATTGTGCTGTTCCTTCAGCTTTCCGTAGGCTTGGAATTTTTAATTGCAAAAACCAAAAAGGTTGGGAGGAAAACAGGTGCTGGACTCAGGCCGTGTGGGTGGCGTCCCCTGCCCTGGGTCGCCGTCAGTGACTCGGCAGCCTTCCTTCCCACCCCTGCAGCAGTATTCTCTGTCCACAGGATAATCACTCTGCGTTATCGAATGAAGCCTATTTTCCACCCCATTTTCATCTTAATAGTAAAACGCATTTGCTAAATACGCCAATTAGAGGCTGCACGGGAGGCGGCCTCCACTCTCGCTGCCGCAATTTCCTTCATCTGTTCGCTGGTACGGGGCGAAGAGGGGGACTCGGGGTCTGCCCGGCGCTCCCTCAAACAGCCCGGGACGAATCGATCGCCCACGCCTCCCCAAGCCCGGTCCCTTCTGCAGCCTCCGGTGATTCCCAGAGCTGCTTGCCCGTGTTAGGTTTTCCCCTTTCTCATTTTCTTTTTCCTCTCCTTCCTTCCTCTTTAAAAGATGTTAGAAGGAGAGGAAAACGTTCGCTCTCCCACCCCAGGAGACTCACCTCCCCAGGTCTTCTGCAAGATGCTCTCCGGAAAGTACTTCAGGCTCCCTGGCTTCCGTCCTTCCATTCCATCCAGCAGACATCTGCTAAGTGCCTACTGTGTGCCAGGGCCCGGGGCTGGGGCGCCTGCCAAGCAGCTCCAGTGGGGACTGGAAGCAAGGAGTGGCCCAGTGGGAAGGGAGGGGAGGCTTCGAGCGCTGTGCCTTCTCGGAGGCGTGTAGCACACAGCACGCGGTCGCTGTGGTCAGGGGTCTGTCCCCGAGCCGCCTGCTGCCCCAGCCCTCCCAGGGTGGCGGCATTCCACAGCTGCAGGGAGAGGAGTGGACCCTTCGGCTCCGTGGCCTGCCGGGTGGCCTGTCGGGTACCTGCCATGTCATCGTCCCCCCAGCGGGAGGGACAGGCTGCGACCTGCTGTGATGTCTGAGGTGCCAGCCTGGACCCGCCCAAGGCCAGTAGGCAGCTCCCTCCGCATTCCTGAAATTCCACCCCACAGCCACAGCCTGGCTCAGTGGATTTCAACTCTAGGATTCAAACTCCCCCAGCCCATGCTGTCATTGCTGGGCCACCTCCCCGGCAAGTGCACCCATGTGCACCGGAGCAGCCGTGACCGAGAGGAGCACCCACAGGCTCCCCAGGGAGTTCGTTTGGGCCTCTCTAGCTGTACAGGATCATCCCCTGGATGAACTCTAAAGCAAAGAAAAAGCAGCTTGCATAAAAATGAAAGTCACATCTCGGTGGCACCAGCCTGTAGCAGCCACAGCTGACGCCTATTTTATGCTCAGGCACTGTGAATGGTTCTGATGTGCACTACGCAGCTGGCGGGGACACGAGGTGTGCACAGACTTCCTAGGATCCCAGCACTCCAGCTGTCCTCTGCCTCCGGGCCTCCCACCACCCCGAGTCCACGTATGGCCACGGAACTTGCTTGGGTCAGGGAAGTGCCCACGGCGGTCTACAGCCTGTGACCAATGCCTCTGTCTTTGGAAGCCTTTTGACTCCCCACAGTTCATCCTCCTGCTGTGACAGTGACAGACACACCAGGCATTCCGGGCTGTGAACCGGAAGCTAGGTGGGACGTACTGACCACATATGGAGGGCGATGCTCTGATCACAAGCTCCTCAGAGGGACCGCAGAGGGGAGAAGTAAGTGTTGCTTGCATCAAACCTCGGACATCTGGGACTTATTTGTTACCGCAGCACAATCTAGCTCACCCTGAGTAGGTCCTCAGGCCCTCATAAGAATCCGATGGTGACAGCGTGTTGTTATCCCCATTCTACAGACAAGACACGAATGCACAGGATGGTCAGGTAACTTGCCAGAGGACACACAGCTCAGAGAGGGCAGAGCCAACAGCAAACTTCAAGAATTAAGAACCAGAACCCACACTCTCACTCTGTGGCCTACACTTCCCACCAATACTGCTACCAGTCAGACATAAGGACACATAAATATCAAGGTCTACATATTTCTTGATGTACTTCAGTCAGTGTTTAAAGAATAAGGTAATTATAACAGCAGAGAATTAAAGAAACTCTAAAATTGCTTGGTTTAAAAAAGAAAAAAAAAACGGACTCGTTTCAGTTTGTACAGCAATTAAAACTGCAAATGGGGAATAACAGAGGGACTGCTCCTCGGGGAGCGGCTGGGAGTAGTGGAAACCACTTAGAGGGGAACTTGGCTTCTCTTGATTTCCCCAATTCCGTGGAGTTTACCCTACAGAGCAATACCCATGATTAAAAGTATAATTAGTGTTCTCATCCCACCTCCCAAATTATATGTTTCTTTCTAATCGAAAACGGTTTCCCTAACAGATTGTTTTCTCCCTAAATCAAAGCACATCCTCCGCGAGCTGCTGCCGCCCTCAGTCAAGGCAGAACAGAGAGCTGCGCTGTGGCCTCTCGGTCCCTCTGCAGCAGGACGCTTGTCACAGGGCCCTGTGCTGTGCGTGGTGATGGCGACTCCGGGCCCTTGCTGAAGTGCTCTTGTGAAAGCAGTGAGTGGCTGTCCAGGGGCAGGGCTGGTCAGAGGGTCCACACGAGACCGTGCGAGGTGCTCGCTCCAGCCAGGGGCACAGCGAGCGGGCGGGCCTGGCTGCCCCAAGGTGAAGGGTGCCGAAGTCAGGGTGCCCGAAAGTCAGCAACGCTGAGGCAGGCGGCAGTGGTGGGTGAGGCTGGGAGTGGGGTCTCTGGACAGCACCCCGAGCAGCCTGTGGTCACCACGTCCCAGGTGAGGCCTGCAGCCTCCCAGTCCCAGCAGGTGTTCCCTACGGCGCATACCTGCACCGCCACACCTGTCTGTGCTGCTGAACTAACCGCTGCAGACATAGGCCCCGCAGCACGGAGGTCCGGAGTCCGAGCTTGGGCAGGTAAGACCCCCGCCCGGCGCAGCTCTCGGAGGAGCCAGGGTCCTGCAGGCCCCACTAGGACACCCACCCGTCTGTGGGGCTCCACGCCCAGCCCGATCCCCTGCAGGCCTGGTCGTGAGGGGGTCATTCGTCTACAGCACCACTGCAACCCCCGCCTCCGTCCCCCTTGGCCACTTCGGCAGCAGAGCTCTTGGGAAGGCGCTGCTGCCTCTGGACCCCTGTGACCTCGGGGTCACCTTGCGACTGTGCTGGAAGGCGTGCGGGACTCAGGCACACAGGCTGCTCCAGGCCCCCAGCCACAGCCCCACCAGAGACCCAGGCAGGGTCTGAACTGCGTGGCCACCTGAGTGCCACTGGGGACAGGCGGAGGTGACCAAGCTCACAGGAAAAATGGCAACTCGCCCAGCACCCCCTCAGGATGCACAAGCCTGCAGCCCGTTCCTCTGCCCACGTGGGGTCTGCACTCCCCTCTGCTGTGCATGAGGGTGGGTGAGACAGGACAGAAGGTGCTCTGGGCTCCCCACCACTCGGGGGCTGGCCCTCCGGAGACTGCGGCCTCCCCGACATCACGGCTGAGACAGGCAAGCATCTGAGAGCCTGGGTGCTTGGGGTCGGTTCCCGCCAGCCAGGAGGAACACAGTGACCAGAGCGAGGAGCTGAGAACAGGCTAGAAGTGACACCCCGGAAGTGGGCATCTTCACGGATGGTCCAGAGCCTCTGCGCTGCGATCAGGGCCTTTGAAATACAGCCCCGGGAGGCATACGATCTTCCATCCCCAAGTTTACCCTACTGGCTGGGCTTCAAGCAACAAAACACTCACAGTTCCCGGAATACCCAGACCCCAATTCCCAAAAGCCCCCATGAGCTGTTTCTCTAATCACCTCTTATTCCTTTCTGCAGAACTCCTACTCATGCTGCAAAGCCCAGCACAGCTCTCATCTCCTGTGGGAGCCTCCACCACCTCCGCTCCCACTGCACTCTGTGCTTGTTTCTAAGGTGACCCAGTGTGGAGACAGCTGTCCAGTGACCTGACCGCGTTCTCCACCTGCCGGGAGCCTCTGAGAGCAGGGCCCACCTCTCACCACGGAGTTCTTTTAACCGAGTGTCAGTCTCAGGCACAGACAGGGGCTGGCCGATGAGCACGAGGGGAGCGCAAGATCCGCGATTGGTTTACACTGAGGTAAAGTGGGAAGATTGGAAAGGAGGCCGAGGCACACGCCGTACTCACTGGGGTCAGCACCAGGCGCAGCCCTTGGGGTGACACAGGGGAGGTCACGGGGCCCGTGGGGCAGCCCCCAAGCCTCACGCTGCTGCCCCAGCACCGTCCTCCACCCCAGCCCAGGTTCCGGGAGCGGGTGCAGCGTGCAGGCCACAGGGGCCCTGCGTGGCCTACGAACCGCATCCTTCTCTGGGGCCCAGCATTTGGACCCCACCAACCAGAGCCTGTCACGTCCCGGGGTCCCCACGCCAGTCACCAGGGGCCCCATTCCAGGCACCTGCCTGGCTGACCTCACCGTCTGGCCTCCATGTCCAACTGTCAACGTCCAGAGCCGAGATGACGACACGGCTCAGGGGCGGGAGGCCTGGTGCCAGGGCCACCCGGCTGTCACACAGCAGTCCTGCCAGGAGCCCGGCCTGGACTGCACTGCAGTGGCTCTCACCTTCCCCTTCTGGGGGGCTGCCTGCGACAGGCTCGGGGTCCCACCCCAGGGTTCCTGGTCAGTGGGCTGGGGTGACTTGGACAGGGTTCCATACCTTCCAAGGCAGCACCCAGTGACGGCTCCAATCCGTCACACTTAAAGGCACATGCCGGCCATCGGCCCTTTGCACACACCACCACTACCCCTGCACGGATGCCCCTTTTCCAGCTGATTGTCCGTCTGGTCCCCAACTTCTCAGAGGCCTGATACTACCAGGCTCTCCATGAAATTGTCCCCTGGTCCCCCAGCACAAATAATAGTCTGCTAGTACACACTGTCCTCAGTCCGGCTTCTGTTTTCCTCGGCAGTGCACACCCCCGCCTCAACCTGCAGACTGTGCCACGCGTTCTCCGTGCCTCTGCCTGCTGTTGCCTGCTGAGCTTCACACGCAGGGTCCCAGTGCAGCACCTTAAAGTCCATGGAAGGCAGGGGGCAGAAGGTGAGCACGGAAGGAGGGAGGGAGGGAGGGAGGGTGCTGGACAAGGACCTGTTCCCAGAGCGGCCCGACCACAGGCCGCCCATCACCTACCAGGGAAGGGCTTTCAGAGCCCAGAGGCAGCCAGGGGCCCCCCGGCCTGAGCGGAGGCTCCCTGGAGTCTGGGGTCCGATCAGCTTCGTTGCTGTGAACACTGAGCCCAGCTTGTGCTTTTCCATTCGAAGTCCAGCTTCCCTGCTGACCGTGCCGAGGGCCTCCCCACGGGCCGGCTGCCCCCCAGACCCGGTCACAGCAGCAGCAGGGGCAGGGGCTCCCTCCCTCCGTTCTCCGCAGGCGGGGCACACGCTGCCAGGTCCCCGCTCACCGTCCTCTGCTGTCGCTCCCCCTGCCAAGTGCCCCTCGCGGCCTGCGGGGGACATGGCGCTGTGGACGTGGACACAGCCGGGACCCGGCGAGGCGATGAGAGGCCCAGCCGGCCGGCGCCCACCTACTCTGCGTCCTGTTTCCTTCTACGTCTCATTCCCACGTGAGACCTCTGACTCTCAGGCATCGGGCCTGGGACACGCGCTTGCTGCGCAAAGAACGTTGATCTGAAGTAGAATTTACCCGACACGAGCGGTGGGAGAAGCCTACGCCGCCCTCTGGAGAGCTGAGGTGTGGGCTGCAGACCCTGGCTCTGCCTGCTCCTCAAATCCAGTTGCCAGCTGCCTGCAGGCAGCAGGGCTGGGAGGCGAAATCTGCTTTTCTTTTTGTTTATTACCATCGCCTCCCGCTCTCCCCACACCTGCAACAGGGGCGGGAGGGCCAGGACCCCAAGCCCAAGCTGCAGCCTCCCGCGAACAGATGGGAACAGATGAGGGGCGGGGTGGCTCCCTGGCTCAGGAGGTCCCGAGGCGCAGGGCCCCGCCGG